ATAATACCGTATTGTAAAAAGTAAATCAAAGTGAATTTATCATTACGCGGTGTCTGTAAAAATCTCATTGTGTCGATGTTGATATTAACACGGTACGAGTGGATTTATAATCCCTGATTTATGTCAACACCATCATATGCATGCTGTGAATTTAAAACCCATGTGTTGAACACACATTGTATTGATTTATAGCTCTCATCGATTCCGCGCGCTGGACGAATCACGTTTGTGGCTTCGAAAGGAATGTTTATCGACAAAACCGTATTAAATTATTGGCGAATATGAGCTCTTGTAAAAGAAAGAAAGAAAGAAAAAAAAAGAGACAACAACAGAATCTAAAGAGGAAAGCGCGACGTTCTTCGTAACGTGATTCTTTTCCGTTTGTTTCCGTACGTTTGTTTTTCTCGCGGAAAAGTACGAGACGTATAGGAAAAGTATAACACAATACTAGCACGTAGGCAGGCCGCGCGCCGCGTAAATTAATTGCCATTTGTCTCGTGACGTGAAACGTGTAGAGAAAAGTTCGTTTATACATACGATATATACGCCCCGTCGTTTTCGAACAATGTAATGTACATACCCGCCCGCGTTCGCTTACTCTCACGCATCCTCATCACGTGTTCACGGCACGAAACGTGTGAGTCGTCACACGTATAACTCATGTGGGTGTTTCTCGCGACGTATCCAAGGAACTTGGGCTTTTATATACTTACCACGTGTGTTGGCGCCCCATTTTCAGAATTTCGACGCGATCGATTCGTCCATACATTCATTGACTGCCACGTCATTCATGTGTGGGACTTACATATGTATATACGTTTCATGAAAAGCTTCTAGGAAGTACTGCAACACGTACGTTTTTTCTTTTTACTCTTTTTCCGTCGTAAAACATTACGGAAATTTGGTGTCATTTATATTTGAATGACGGGGAATATAATAAAGAGTGTCATTCGCGCGACGTGACTGTCACGTGCTAATGGGATCCTGCTCTCACGAAGCTTATTTTTCACTAACGATTTTTCTAAGAAGAATCTCAAGTTTTCCTCGATGAGAATTTGTTTGAGCAACAAACGATTGCGCGAGGAGAAATATACCCTTTCTCATTTTTCCCATTTTTGCGAATGCGGAAGACATTTTGCTCATCATATCGAGACGCTTATCATATACGAGTATGCATGGATAATCGCCTGACAACGAGTGATCCCTTTACGAGTTTTGCCATGTTTCTTTTCATAATAATAAAAATAATAGCAAGATAAAATAAAAGGTTCAAGCACGGGAAAAACGATTTTACTCAAGTATCTAAAAAAGAAAAAAACATTAACTAGATATACGATATTATATAATACAGATCTATAATAGGAAATAATTTGTTGGATCATTAAAACTGCACAATAACGTAGAAAAAGCATAATACTGAACAAACATAATACCGCAAAAGAATTGGATATAGTCTAGCAACTTGAGCGTCCTATATCATTATTTTGATAGTCGAACAAAATTATTTTCAGATATGTATTTAGTTAAATTTGTAGATACTTTAGCAAAAAAAACATTTTAAATATACTTGTTTCCACGTAGAATCACAACACGTGTATCCTACTGTCTCGCGTACTACGCATATACATATAATATATATGAACACGAGTGCTAATACATCTGCGATAGACTAATTGGAAAATGTCTTCGGTATTACGTCTACGATATTTAATATGGTCGCGATTGATTCTACATCACAAGACGAGATCAAAGCGAATAAAGCATGACTCGTTTTTGATCGAATTAGTTGTATCGCGTCGATACAGCTCTCATCGTACGAAACGATGGAAAAAGGCGAGAAAACGAGAAATATATAATACAATATACGTCGTTTCCGCCACGCACCGTGATTGGCTCAGATATTGAAACTCTGAGAGTAGACGATTGGATCGGGGGAAAAATCCCTGATCCCCGACGAACCATTTGCCGTTTGCCGTAGGTCAAGGATTACACGGGCATATTTCGAGTCTCGAACGGCACCGTTTCGCATTCGCTCTTTTCGCACGCGCTTATTAAGCCGTGATCAAACTAGAAAATGAGATTGAGAGATTGAATGAAAATTTAACCTGCAATCGGAAGAAAGAAAACCAATTTCAAGTTTAGTGAACTTTGCTTTGATTGGTTAAATTTCAATCGAATCTCAATCTGAATCTCTATAGTCTGATGACTAGAACTAGTAGTCTATGCACTTTTTGCGAGAGATCGACGAGTGCCTTTCCAGTTTCCGCCCACGCGGCGGAAACAATCGCATTTCAAGTTTCTCAGATTCTCTGCGAGCTAAGGCGATATCACATTTGCATCACAAGCGACACGAGTCGACGTGCAGTGCAAAAATCCATCTCTATCCATCAAGCCTACCGATCGTTCTCTTATTCTCGCGCGCATAAATTAAGGACGCACGAAGTTGTGTGGCATTTTACGATATTGCGCGAATACAGCGAATTACAGAATGAGTTCGAAATCATCTTGCTGTTATGATCCAACGGATTTAAATGTTTTCGACTCTCAGGGAGTATATATATGTGTACATATTATTATATATATCTAGAGAAAGTTACACGCGCTCAACATCCTCAAGTTAATCATCGATCATCGATCTGTGAGACTAATTTGGTTGATATTATAATAAAGAATCCCGTACTAATTGTATCGTATGTATATACATAGGTGTATTTTATTGCGTGCTCACAAAGCTCCTTTTACTGCACCACAGCTCAAAAACTATCTATTCTATCTGCGTAACTACCTACGTAAAAACTAATTCGTTTCACCCAAGAAAGAAATTTATAGAAAATTATTACAACTACATATTATATAGATATAAGGCATGAGAAGCTGCTTCGATCAAATATTGTCTGCCTCGCTCATTTGTACGATTTGTATGGTTGAAAAGTAATGATGCGATAAGAGGTGATCTCGAGAGGTTAGCTAGCTCGCGGAGCAGAGCCTCCAAGTTGGCCACGTGCCTCCTGCGTGCATGTGCACGTGCCCGTCGCCCGAGATCCAGTGTTTACCTGCACCCGTGTTTATCACGCCGCGCCGTCGCATCGTCAAGTTTCGTCAGTATCCAAAGTATAATACTAATATTACTAATCGGAGATATCAAGTACGAGCTTATCGCTGCCGCGGCGAGTGAGTTTTCTTTCACGTTATCGGCACGGGCAGATGACGCGTTCGCGATTCGTACAGGTGCACGCGCAGCGAAAAGTCGGCGATCTCTAATAAGAATGGAGTAGCGTACACGCATTATGCACACACGCGGCGCGATTGGCAAGAGAGGAACGTCACACACGTAGGTACAAAGCCATCTCGCGCGATGCTGTGCGAGTGTGTGCGTGCGTGCGTGCGTGCAGACGCGACGCGACGCGCCACATATGAGGACTCGCGGCTCGCGCGACGCGCGATTTCTCCTCTCCATCTTTCTCTTTCTTTCTCAGTCTCTGCATCGTTTCGGCGTAATTCTCTCTCTCTCTCTCACTCTCTCTTTTCACGAGTCGCGAGTATCACGATATCGGCGGACAAGGGGACAATTAAGCGGCAAAAGTATATGCAAGCACATATATGTGTGTGTGTGTGTGTACCTTGGTATTGTAATGCACTTGGTGTTGCAGCTCTGCGTCGTGATGGCCTTCTCGAGCTCGTCGAGGCCCGCGGACTTCTTGAGCTTCTTCACCAGGCTCTTAACGGCCTTCTCGCTCCATTTGTCCTCGCTCTCGGCCTTCTTCCAGCCCAGCAGCCGCTTGACGATAGGCGGGTTAAAGCTGGGCAGCATCGAAGTCATCATTTGCCCTGAGAGG